GGCGGCGGCGGTGGCTGGGGCGCGGGGTCCTCGCTGAACCTGCGCGCGACGGCTCCGGGCGCTGCTGCGGGGACAGGCGACACGTGAGACGCTCGCGCGTCCGGAGCCACCCACCCCGGCCACCCGCGCCGTTCCTTCCCCGTGGGCGATGCAGTCGCCAGTGGCCCCTGGAAAGGTCCTGGGAAAGCCCAGCGTGGTGGCGGACACCTGTAACCCCAGCACTCCGGAGGCTGAGGCAGGAAGCACCAAAGTGGGAGCCCAGCCCAGACAACGTAGTACTTAGTGAGATCTCCGTCTCAAAATAAAAAATAAAAATACAAAATAAAAAGAGCTGAGGATATAGCTCAGTGTAAAGGCCCTGGATTCCACACCCAGCACCACAAAAACGAAACAAATCTATCTCAAGTCGACATTTTCAAAACCCTGGACTATTTCTAAACCTTGGACTACTGGCCAAACCCTTCGCTGAGTCTCTTCCCTGGAGTTTGGGAAAATCCCATCCTTAGCTGTGCCAGGGCCCCAGGGCATCCATGGGTGCTGCGGGTCCACAGCTGAGGAACCCTGGCTCCTGGGCCAGACCTGGTCTTTTCTAAGCCGGTAATTTTCAAAATCACAGCCCTCTGATCCAGGGGGCGAGGGAGTGTGTCTCGACTTCTGACCCTGCCTCGGAGGCCCGGTCCCGGGGACCATCTGCCCTGGCGCCGGTGGCTCGGCAGGGCAGGCGTGCCACCTGGTCTACGCTGAGCGGGTGAGATCGGTGCGTGGGTGTCGCCTCCTGCAGCCACCCGCCCCTCAGGCCCTGCGCCCAGGGAGCAGGTGCTGTGCCGGAGGACACCCGCTCAGCGGCCACCAGGAGACCGCCGACGGCCACTCCTGTCGGCCTGCTGTGAGCCAGCCGCGGCAGGCGCGTGCCACAGGGCTCACAGCCCGGTGCACAGATGCGGAGACTGAGGCCGAGACTGCGTGGGCCGCAGGCTGGAGCCCGGGTCTCTAGCCGCGGCCCGGTCTCCCTGTCACTCCCGCACGCTGGGCTCACTGCGTGACTCGCGCGGCTGCAGTGACCAGCCGGCGTCTGTTCAAACACACGCCCCGGGGAACTCGAACAATCCTCTCTCCTTTTCAGGGACCGAAGGAGGCCGGGCGTCCGGTGGAGGCCGGATCCTCGGTTTCCCTTTGCGCTTTACCCTGTCGGCAGCGGCCCGGGCCGGGGGCTCTCCCCGCGCCCCCCGCTCGCGGGAAGCAGGGGAGGCTCCCCCGGGGCGAGGGGGCGCCGTCCCCCCGGGCCAGGCGAGCTCTGCCCCGGCGCCCAAGCCGGCCGCGAGGACCCTGCTCCCCTCCGCCGCGCGCTGTCCCCGGCACCCACCTTCGAAGCCGGGCGCCAGGTGCCGGGCCGCGGCCGCGGGCGGCTCGGGGAGGCTCTTGGGGGCTGCGGACGGGCTGCCGGGCCCCAGGGCGCTGGCGTAATGCCACTGGCACTCGTTGCCGGCGGGCAGCGCGCTCAGGAAGAAGCGGGCCACCTCGCACGCGGGGCCCTGGGGCTGCCCGCGCTTGGCCTGCGGCGCGGGCTTCTTGCTGCCGAAGACGGGCGCGTCCAGCGGGAAGGGGCCGTAGCGGTAGAAGGGCAGGCTGTAGGGCGGCGCGTACAGCAGGTCCCCGCCCTCGGCGTGCAGCTGCTGCTCCGGGGCCGCCGGGGTGCTGGCGGGGGCGCCGGCCGCCCACGGTCCGAGCTGGCCGCAGTCCAGTCTGTCCGCGTGGAACGCGCCGTACTGCTGCGTGGCAAAGAGGACGGGGACGCCCGGCCCAGGGGCGCGGCGGGTCTGAGCTTCCCGGCTCAGCCTCGCTCGAGAGCCCGACCTACCCCAGCACGAGGCCCTGGTAGGGACACGACCAAGCCCCCGGGTGACAAGAGTCCCAATGTAAGCTGACCGCACACGGGACACAGGTGGACATCCCTAGTTCCTAGGGTGCATGAACCACGTTATTTAAAAAAGAGGGAAGATTTTCACTGTCAAAATGCTGTGAGCCGGGCACCGTGGCGTGTGTACCTGTCATCTAAGCTCCTCAGGAAACTGAGGCAGGAGGCTCGCTTAGCCCAGGAGTTTAAAATGAGGGGCTCCATATAAAGCCCTGTTTCAAAACCAAACAGAAAACGTCGCAGAAACAGCACGGGCTGGTGTCCTAGCCAGCGTCTGCACGGCCCGGCGGCCTGACCTGCCCTCTCCCGAGAGGCACCTTTCTGCTGTTCTCCACTGCCCACCCGGGTATCGGCTTTCCCCAAGCCGAGCCGCTGCTGGTCGGCGGGGACACGCCTGCAGGACCCGGCTGCACTCTGTGGGGGTGTCCCTGCTGCGTGTTCCCAGGTCCTCATTCCTTAACGTGCGCCAGTGTGAGCCAGGCATGGCGGCGCACACCCGTCCTCCCACCTCTCTGGGAGGCTAAGGCAGGACGACTGCAGGTTCAATTTAGCAACACAGTGAGACCCTGGCTCCAAATAAAAAAGTAAAACTATAAAAGGGCTGGGGAGGTAGCTGTGTGTGTAGGCCTGGGTTCAGCCTCCAGTACCAGAAGAAGAATAAATAAACAAACACCAACAAACACGCCCACGTGTCCAAGCCCCAGGGACAGACAGACGTCAGCCGCACCCCCGACACTTGTTACCTGCGGGGGATAGGGGCTTGTTCTCAGCTTCGTCTTCATCTTCACGTTTCTGGGCTTCGCTAGCTTCCTAGCTTCTTGTGAGGTAGACGAGGGGGTCCTCCAGGAGTCCTGCGCCTTGGGAGTGGACACCTGCTCCAGCGACAGCTGCAGTTCCTTGTACTCGATGTCCCTGGAGGGCCAGAGCGGGCCATCGGGTCACGTCGGGCAGGCACAGTGGGAGATGGCTCCCGGGCCAGCGGTGCCTCACCTCCGAGGCTGGGGACAGCGTTTGGGAAGGACAGCTCACCAGTGTCCTGCTGTCCGCATCCCCAGGCGCACCGGGGGAGCTGAGCCAGGCCAGTGGCGTCTGGCAGGGACAGAGGGAGGCCGGCTTGCTCTGTCCCAGCTGGCCCCAGAGGTGGCTGGGATGGTGGGGCCCGAGGAAGGCTGCGAGGACAGGGACAGGGAGCACGGGTATCGATGGCTCTGGCTTCTCTAACCCCCGAGGGAGTGCCGGTGGGAGCCCTAAGGTGCAGAAGCCTGGCTTCCGGGCTCAGCTAGCTTCACGTCAGGGCTGCACCTCTGCCCTGCACTGCCAGCCGGGCCGAGTCGTATTCAGGGCACGGAAGGGCCCTCCAGAGTGCCAGCCTGCACTCGGGAGAAACGTTTCTCCTGCAGTCAGCCCTGGCCATTCTCCTTCCACACACCAGGGACCTGCGGGTCGTCTCACCCAGAGCCTGCACCTGCGCTGCGCTCAGGACACAAATGAGGGCGCTTCCCAGGTGGGAAGAGGGGAGCAGGAGGGCGTCAGGTGCAGGCCAGGGCCGCTTCTAGTGGCCTTGAAACTATCTATGACTGAAGCTCACCCCCGGGTCTTTGAGGGGTGTAGGTACTAGGGACTAAACCCAGGACCTTCACACTAAGCTACATCCCTAGCCCTTTTTAAAATTTTGGGACAGGATCTTGCTAAGTCACTAGGCTACCTAGGCTGGGCTGGAACTTGTGATCCTCCTGCCTCAGCCTCCCAGAGCTCTGGGATTCCAGGTGTATGCCGTCATGCCTGGCACCTTCTGGGTCTTTTAAGGGGCCACGTATTCACCCTCATTTGCGACACTTGCAGGAAGATGGGAAAGTGGGGAGCTTTCTGCTGTCCCAAGTGGCGGGGCCGTTCAGGCTGTGGGCACTGACAGACAGCACAGGCTCGTATCGTGACAGGGCCCCATTCAAGACAGGTGGCCTCCCCCGGCACCAGGACAGGGCCCCCTGCTCAGCTCGGACCTTCCCAAGTGACTGGACTGTCCCAGCCCAAACAGGACAGGACACAAATGAACAGTTCAGAAAGAGCGGGAGGGAGGGGGCGAGATGGCGCTGACGGGGCGTGATGAGGGGCAGAGGGAGAGGAGAGGAACAAATACGCTGACTTACGTGAGGACATAATTGACACTCACGATGCAGTGCGGCCGGGAGGAGCGGCTGTTGTGCACCACGGTGGCGTAGCTCTGCACCCACACCCAGCCGCCCAGCTTGGACAGCAGCCGGTAGTACTTGGTGGTGACCTGGCCCTTCACCAGCACTGCAAGCACAAGGCGACATGAGTCCTCGGCCCACGGCAGGCCCCGCTTTGGGGATGCCACCCCCCCGGGGACCTGCGTCCCTGTGCGCGCCTCTGGGGCCAGGGACACTGAGAACTGGACAGCTCCTGGCTCCGACCGCCATGGACAGGCAGTATTTCGGGGGACCTGGCAGAGCCACAGAATCAGGTTTGCCTCTGGGTATCCAAAACACCACACCGAGATGTTAATGCCCCAAATCGTTCTTAGGCAGAGGGCGTGAGAGCTGTAATTATTTAAACAAGACGGGAACGTCAGCTTTCTTCTCAGTGTCGGACTGGTGCTGCGGTTCACCGTCTACCAGAACGGGTGTGAGCTCCCAGTGAAACTGCTCGCCATCCTATTGCCGCTGGCACTTTCTCCCAGTTACCCGTCTTCCTGGGGTGCGTTAATGTCCTATGCTACAGTAGAAAAGCCCCTGGCTCGAAGACACAGTTCCTGAAAATTGGGCCCGTGGGCTCATCTTCCATGCATGGGCACAAACAGCCCCCCAAAGCTCCGTGCACCTGTAAACTGTGATCTCCCCTCTGGCCTCTGTGGAGGGGAGGAGGGGAGGGAAAGGCCAGAGGCCTGGGCTGGCAGTGGAGAGGAAAAGCTGCTAAAGGCCCCCCATCCCAGCCAGCTTCAGGACGCTCCTGAGAGGGCATGGCCCCCACCTAGCAGCTGCCTGAGCAAGGAGCTGGGGAGTCGGCCACAGGGCTGCAGGAAGAAGCCCCAGCAGCTCCCAGACCACACCCCTCGGCTGCCAGCAGACTCCCCTGCTGTCATGTGTAGCCCTTTGCAGATGGCTCTGTGGCCCACCTCAGCACCCACCGCAAAATGGGTGAGTGAGGAGAAAGAATGCCTCGAGCAGGACTGTCGAGAAGTCACTCACCTTAATTTACAGAGTTCATACTACTTGATAAAAACCCTAAGACCCTACCTACCAAAATCCAAAAAATTTAAACAGGCCATGGTGGCACACCTGTAATCCCAGCACTGGGGAGGCCGAGGCAGGAGGATCACCATGAGTTCAAAGCCAGCCTGAACTACATAGGGAGACCTTGTCTCAAGCAAAAATTAATTAATTAAAAGCACGAAAGCTTTAAAAACAAAGAACATGAACAAACAGTTCACCAAAGAACAAACACCGCACGCACGTGCCAAGGGCCAAACATGCTCCACACACTTCGCTAGGCATAGAGGCATCGGGTCAGCAAGTAGTGCAAGAAAACCGAACCCGCTGTGGGATTCCGTGGTGTGAAGCGTCCAGCACAGGCAAACCCAGAGGGGCGGGGGCGGAGGAGGAGCGGCCAGGGCTGGGGGCGAGGGTCGGGCATGCGCGGTAGCAGGGACCAGGCTTCTTCCGAGGCGATGAAAATGTGCGGAATGAGAAAAAAGGCCCTGGCGGCACAGCGCTCTGGATGCTGCACGCCACTGAAAATGGCGAGAAAAGGTGAGTTTTACGTGGTGTGAATCTGGTCTGAGAGAAGAACAAAATGCTAACAGGCAGTGCCAGCAAGTGCGCGGCGAGGGGTGAGGGGCGAGGGGCGACGGCCTCGGCAGGCTCCCTGGAGCAGCCCGTGGTGGTGGGCAACTGTCTGCGGCCCCCAAAGAACCAACACAGGCAACGCCAACGTCCGGCCCGGACTGCCCGAGCCTGTGTGGCCGCCGGCAGCCCCGCGCCTCCCCGCTCTCCCCTCTGCGCGTGGCCGCCGTCACAAATACCCCGCAAGAAGCGCGGCCGAGATTTTGTGATCTCTGACCTCCCCCGGCTCCGCGGGGAGGGACACAGACCAAATAGACACGCACACGGGTTTCTTTCTTCCCGCTTCTCTGTGACCCGTGCTAACAGTCGGCACATCGGTCCACACTGCAACCCTAGACACTGGTCGCCGCATTCCTGGGTCTGCGCCACTCCTCCTCCGGGCTGCCATCCCTAATTAGCTGCCGGGAGCGAACCTGGGCCAGAGGGTTGTAAGGCAAAGCCGTTCTTACAGGGGACAGACAGGGGCAGGGAGAGGTCCCTGAACCACGAGCTCCCGAGGTCAGACTGTGCATCTACCACGGCGTGTCCAACAGCAGCCTGCAGTGGTGCTGACCCTGGGTGCTCCAGGCTCAGACGAAAGCCCACTACCCTGGTTCCTCCTAGGCCGCTCTGGGGGGGACATTCCAGCTCCATGAAAATTTGTGCAGAGGGCAGGCCCTCCCCGCTCCTCCGGGAGTCCCCGCACGGTGTGGCCGTGGCTCAGGCCGACCTCCCAGCTCGAAGGCAGCTTTGGCCTGGAAGCGTTTGACCTTCTCTGACATCGCACCTGCCCACCCCGGCCCGTGTGGCCAAGCTACAGACGAGGACCTGTGCCCTCTGCTCGGCCGAGGACAAGGCCGTGGCACTACAGAGCATCCTCACCATGGGCTGGAGTGTGTCCCTGACCCGAACTCCTGTGCGGGGTCCTCAGCCCGGACCTCAGCAGGGCTGCCTCGAAGGTGGGTCTGGACAGTGGGAGTCAAGCGATGTGAGCTCAGACGCTCTGTGCTGAGCCAGTGACTGGGGCCTTATCGGGAGAGCCCGGACAGACACGCAGGGCACTCGTGAGGACACGCCGTCTAAAGCCACCGAGAGAGGCCGCACGGAAGCAGCCCTGTGAGGTGGGGCCGGGCATCCGCCTCAGCCTGGCAGGAAACCAGCCTGGCCCGTGGCGCCGAGCGACAGTCACAGCAGCCTGAGCTCCCGCGCCAGGCCTCGCAGATCTGAGCAGCGAGGGATGGGAGAACCTTCCAGAAACAAGGACTTGGTCACCCGACTAGGCTCTGTGGGGACAAGTGGGGGCTGGGGGGAGAGGTGGTGGCGCCCGACACCAACCCAGGAGAGGACGCAGGAGTGCACAGCGAGGGGGTGGGTGCCCGGCCGCACAGGGGAGCTTGGTGAGGACACCAGTCGCCAGTGGGGGCCGTGGGCAGGGAGGCGTGGTGTCTGCAGGGGAGGTGTGACCCACAAGCACAAGCAGACGACAGACGGGCTGCACCAGGAGAAGCTCATGAAGAGCTGGCACATGGGCACGTGGCACCGGGGAGGGCTGGGGCCAGGCGACCTCCACGCAGGCCGCGGCCACTTCCCAAGGCTGGGACCGCTGTCCCGCACGGGCCTTCCTGGGGCAGAGCCACGCTGGCCAGGTGTGCGGTGAGCGGGGAGTCCGCACCCTCCAGGCCACGCGGAGCCGGGACCCACAGGAGCCAGAGCGCAGGGACCTGGGCTCAAGCTCCCGCCAGGCCCAGACGGTTCTCCTGTGGGGCCACCTCCCCGCCCCCCGTGCCCTTCTGGGCGCCCCCCAGGTCTCAGTGGCCACCCCAGTGAGTCCCTGCGCCCGAACCCAGGGCCGCAGCTGGAGTCCAGCAGCTTCCTTACTCCACGGGCGTCCGGGGGAGGGGGGGAGCGATGTCACGCTGTCCTGAGGGCTGTGTCAGCTCAGGGCCTTAGGTGGCACTCATGCCGCGCCCGGGCAGCACCTGGGCTCCAGGCAGCCGCCATGGGGGCCCCTCTAGCTCACACAAGACCCAGCCAGGGGCAGAGGCGGGCGGAGGCGGGCGCAGGGGCTCAAAGGCAGCCATTTGAGACTGCCCGGGCCCAGCTCGGCTCAGAGCCGCAGAGCAGCAGCAGGAGTTCAGGACCACAGTGCCCCGCCCTCCCTGGGGCAGCACTGCACCCATCTCATTTCTCATCAGCCCCTCCGGGCGCCTGCGCTTTCCTACTTCCCTCGGATCCCTGTGACATCTGGAAATGGGAAATTTCCTGTGTGATGGAATGGATTACAGTGTACATCACAGGACGCCTCCTGAGGCAGGCAGCAAGCGGTCAAGGCCCTCAGTGGGCAGAAGACCAGCCTGCTTCAGCCTGCTTTGTGGTGGGACCACAGAAGGAAGACTTGAGACCAGAGCAGGTGCATCCAGGTCTGCCTGACTCAGCCTCCTTGGGCTCTCTCGCACGTCTCCACGTCAGGGACCCAAAAGCAACACAACCAGCATTGCTGGAGCCTTCTCAGCTTTTCCAAAGGAGGGACAGTCCCGGCCCCTCCCTCAGCCGGGCATGAGAGGGCAGAGGTGACCATGGGGGCCCTGGCTTGGGTGCAGCCGGGCGGTTCAGTCCCTGGCACACAAGTGAAATAAAGCAAAGCGAAACCTGTGAACACGTGAGTTCCCTTTCTCCGCTTTGAGGCCTGGGATGCAGCCTGGGGTCCTGCAGGGAGGGCGGCGCACAAAGGGTTCCCACCCTCCACAATGTTCCCCTCCACCACTTCCGGTCTCCAGAGCCCCCCCCACCATCCTCACAGCAGCCCTGCAGGTCCCCCAAATGTCTGATTCCCTACAGAAACACTTCCGGCTCCAGTCAGCGACTCTGACCTACAGAGTCCACACAAGCGCTGTCAGCTGCTTCCCTACCAAGCAGGGTTAGAGTGACAGAGGTCTTTGTGGGAGACGATGGTTTGTTTTTTAAAACAAACTGAAAGGGGGCAGGCGTGGTGGTGCATGCCTGTAATGCCTTCATTCAGGAGGCTGAGGCAGGAGGATCACTGAGTTGGAGGCCAGCCTAAACTGCATAGCAAAACCCCACCTCAAAAAAAAAAAAAGAAAAGAAAGGACGCACAAAATGATAAGGAGTCTGCCCCGCCACAAGTCCTGCTTATGCAGGTAGCTTGTGGGGTGCTGTGGGGTGCCAACAGTGACACACAGGTGACATCACATTCACTGCCCACCGTCCACCCTGCACAGGCAGGAGGACAACGCAGCCGCAGCCCCTGGACCCGCTGTCCATTTCCCACCGGGCCACCAGCCACGTGTCCCGTAAGGTCTCCTAGCTAACAGCGCAAGCCGACGCCCTGCGCCCCGGCCACGCTGCGGAGATTCCGAACCCTCCGTCCCCGGCGCCCGCTAACCAGCAGCCTCGGCTGGCCCCCGGCCTCGGGGCTGGGCAGCAGGAGGAGGAGCTGCCCACTCCATCTGTCCCTCCTTTGACCGCACCAGTGACGAAGGCACCTGCCCCAAGCTGCCTTTTCCCACGGGGCAACACAGTCACGTGCCAGGGCTCAGGGAACGCCAGCTCCACTCTGCTCTTTGCAATGGTGTGCAGCTCTCACGGAGCAGCCGAGATCCCAATCCACAGTCTAGGACCCGGGCAACTGCACGCAACCCACACCATCCGTGTCACTGATCAGGCACCTGGGTGCGGCGGGACGGGCCACGAAGAGCGGAGCTTATCCCCGATAGAAGTCACACCGAGGTCTAAGACTCACAGATGCCCCCAGCCCCGGCCCCGGCGCCCCCTCGCGTCCCGGGCACCCCGCCCCGGGCCCGGCCCGGCCGCAGTACTCACGGAGGTGGTGCGCGTAGCGCAGGTGGAAGGTGTCGCAGCCGTGCACGTGGTGGTACAGCGTCTTCTCGATCAGGTCCTGCGGCTCGTAGCCCGTCAGCTCCGTCACCCTGCGGGACAGCCGCAGCTCCATGAGTTACCCTGCTCTATTCTTCGGGGAGCACGTGTGGGATGGCTTCGAACTGTACCCTCTCAAGGTTAAGCTTGTCGGGGGACCACGACGATGGAGGGCGTGCTATTTCACACGGACATCGTGTTTCGTCCTTGCCTCTCCCCTGGTCTGCCGGTGGGCACTTGGGTGCGGGTTTCTAAGTCCCTTCCACACCGGACACTCCTCCTCAGCACAGGGGGCCTCGCAGCGGGGGGCTGGGCCACTCCTACGAGGGGAGCCGTGGGCTAACCGGCGGAGTCTAAGCCTCGGATCAGAGGAGGATTATTTCAGACCCCCAGAAAACAGCGCGCCATCTGCAGATATTGTGACTACGAGGGGAGCCTTAAGCTCTCGGAGGAGACGGAAGCCTTTCCCAGCGCCTCTGTGACACGGCCCTTCTTTCCTCTCAGCGAGCCGGCGTATTCATTTCCCACTCGGCTCTTTGAAGAGAAGTGGCTGTCGGCGGCCGAGGCCACAGCAGCCGACCCTGGGACTGCTCCGTCCAGAGGTGACACCGGGGGGCAGTGGCAGTTTCCCAGGCTCGGGGCCACGCAGCGGGGAGACGGGGCTAGAGAGGCGGTGGGCCTGAGTGTCTTGGTGACAGATACTCAAGAACAGATGAAAGGGGGACAAGCAGGGTTCCTGGGGGGTTGAGGCTGCCACAAGTCAGTTCTGGAGGCCGGGGAGGGGAGACTGAGGCAGGTCACACCTGCAGCACTGCTCGCCAGGACAGGAAGTGTTAGTTGCAAATTAAACAGGAAACCCGGCCTTTCGTTCCTGAACTCTCTTCCCTTTCTGTTGAGCTCTGCTCGGGCTTTGGGTCATAAATCTCGGAGAGCCTCGTGTGTCCCCAGAGCGGCCCCGGTGGAGGCACTTTCCCACACGGTGCCTCCGGGGTGGGGACGGGGCGTCACTGGCCCCAAGTCCAGTCATCCGGGGTTCAAGGGACAAATCTCAGGGCCACCTAGAACTCCGAGCCCCCTCAGAGTCCAACTCTGTTGCAGGAAAGCTGAGACATCTGGCGTCCCCCGAAGAGAAGGCCAGGCATCTCCACAGCGCGGACGAAAGAGGCTGCTCAGACCCTTTGGGTGTGGAGGCCTGGGGCAAGGCCCCAGCGTGTACATGGATCAGAAGCACCCGGATGAGGTTTCTCATCCAAGTCCACACTGGCTTCACAAATGAAAGGGGAGGGAAGGGCTCGGCAGGACGCCCTCCTGCTTTGTTCCAAACCCGTAGTGTCTGATGGCCTGTCACAGAGACCTGCCAAACCCCAAACATCGCGGGCTTCACCCATCCTTCCCCAAAGCACCAGCTATGGTTTCAGAGTGAAACCGACACCCCGGAGGAGCCAGCTCGCGGGGTATGCCGAGTTCAGCTGTGTCTCACGCTGGCCGGGTGGGGTGCCGTGGACCCCCAAGCTCACCGCTCCCGCTCCTGTGACTGGGGGCTGCGGGGCCAGCCGACCCCTCCCTGTGGCTGCTGGGGTTAGGGTGCAGAAACTGATATCTCTGCCCTGCCCGGGTCTCTGCGTCCCCAGCCCAAGGCCTTTCCAAGATGACTGGAACCACAACCAAGTGGAACAAAGACCATACGACTGCAAAGGAGCCTGCAGCACTCCTGTTACCTCTTCAAGTCCTTCCTCGATGAAAGAAATTTAGGAGGAGCCCCAAGGTTTTTCCAGAAGCTTCCTCATACTGAGCAGGAAGAAGCGCAGGGTTTCAGGAGGGACAGGAAGTCTCCTTCAAGATGGCCGCCTTTCTATTCCCCTTCAAGATGGCTGCCCTTCTGCTCTCCTTCAAGATAGCAGCCCCCCATCGGAAGGGCAGGCGCTCCCAGGATGCTCCACAGAGGCCACATTTGAGGCGACCTTCAGGGAACAGACGGTGGCTTCTGGCTAACCTCCTCCCCGCCTTCACTGGGAGGACTTCAAATCTCTCCTCTAGGGACACCTCCTTCCTCCCTCTTCTGGAGAATTCATTGGCTTTTGGCTTTTCTCAAATTATCTGTGAAATATTAGGAAGCAAAACCAGGGAGAAACCAGCCAGATCTGCCCTAATTCCTTCAGTACGGCCCTCGGGCAGCCCACTTTCTTCAGAAATGGTTCCTGAATTGGGAAAGGGCGCCCCAACACTGCGCACACCAGGCTGGGAGGCAGCTGGCCCAGCCTCCTCTCCTCAGTCCCCGCTTCTGCAAGTCAGGGAAACAGCATCTGTCACCACTTGGCCACCCCCAAAGGTGCTGGCGGTCTCCCCCAAACAGTTCTGTTCGCTCTTGCTTGGCGTTTTAGGGATGACACTGCCAGCTCTGCTGCGCCAATGCTCACCGCCTCTCGCGCTCTGGACGGCTCTGAGGTGCATCCACAACACCTGCCTTCACCCCCCACCCTCAACCAGGTAGATTTGCTTTATTCTCCTCAAACAGAGAATCAATAAGTGCTTAAAAATTATCAATTTATGTGATATTTTACTGCAATTTTTAAAGAGTTAAAAAAAAAAAAAAACCTGAGTGTGTGGTGCACACCTATAATCCCAGGATTCTGGGAGGCAGAGACAGGAGGCTCTCAAGTTCCACACAGCCTGGGCAACACAGTAAACTTAGACTCTGTCTTAAAATAAAAAAAGAATAAAAGGGGCTGGGGATGCAGCTCCATGCAAAGGCCTTGGGTTCATTCCTTAGCCCCCAAAATAAATAATTAATTAATTAATAAGTAAAGTTAAAAAAAAAGAAACAATTAAAAGCTCAGGAGCCAGGCACCTTGGTACCCTCCTGTAATCCAGCTACTGGGGAGGCTGAGGCAGGAGGATTGCTCGAACCCAGGAGTTCAAGGCCAGAGTGCAAGAACCTGTCTTGTGGGGAGAAAGAAACAGAAACAGAAAAAAAAGAACGAGTCAATTCTGACTTCACAGCAAATGCATGCACCCTTCCTGTGCCGCACACCCAGGTTAGGGTGAGCGTCTCTCCTTATTCTGCTTGCACAGGCTTGGTTTTCCATATGTGTCACATCTGTCATCTAATTTCTTCTCTCCTGAGACTTGTGGGGAGCTCGTGATGGGCATCTCTGTCATTTTGGCAACGAGAAAAGGGAAGAAAGCCCTAGCAACTCAAGCCTCGAGATTTGTGAGGATTTCCATACCTATTCCACACTGCAACCCTAATGTATTCCCTCATCCTATGTAAAAGTACAATTATTACCAATTAAAAATAAAATAAAATTTTTAAATAAAAGATAAAAAGACCTGTGAGTGTCAGGCGTGGTGGTACATGCCTGTAATCCCAGCACCCTGGGAAGCTGAGGCAGGAGGACTGCAAGTGCAAACCCAGCCTGAGCAACTTAGTGACTTAGCAGGACCCTGTCTCAAGAAAAATAAATAAAGAAGAAGAAAAAATAAAAAAAAATTAAAAGTTGGGGACATAGCTCAGTGTGAAGGCTTTGGGTCCAATTCCCAGTACCGTAATCAATCAATAAAATTTAAAAAGATAAAAGGACTGTGCTGGGTGGGTGAGACCGGAAGCTCTCCATTGCGGTTTCCCAAGCCAGCCCCTGCAAGGCCTGGGGGAACAAGAGTCATCCTTTGCCTCAGTTGCCACCTCTGCAGTCCAGACACACTGAGCACTGCGGACCTTGGGTCCAGCGTCCCCCAGGGCAGTGACCTCACCACTTCCTGTTCTGACCTGACCTGCTGGTGGCTGCCGCGGATCTGAAAGCTTCACGTGCCCCTGAGCACGGAGATCTCTGTTTGTCCTGAAGTCTGACCACCTTGGCAGAGAGCGGAGGCCATGGGCTGCCTCGTGCCCACCACCCAGGTTTCCGGGACAAACTCCAGCGAGGTGACTCAAGCAGAAAGAAACTGATTAATTACAACGAAGCCCGACTCCGGAGGCCAACGGTAATTCTTTCCATCCAGGCCTCACTTCCAGAAATCCCTTTCTAATCCGCATTCTCCGTCGGACTTATCCTTCTTAGGGTTGGGCTCAATATCACAGTTTCCAGGGCCAACTGCCACCGTCAGGGCTGTCTGGGAGTCACAGCAGCGGCGGGGGCCAGACTTACCTGGAGTCCAGGAAGATGAGCTTCAGGTCCAGGCTGGCTCTGAACATGAACATGTTACTGTGCAGCTTGATCTCCGTGATGGCGCTGGGCGGGAGCGACTGGCCCACGGCCACCAGCCCCACAATCTGGTAGCAGGAGTCGTACAGGGACATGTCCAGCATGTACTGCCTGATCTTCAAGTAGCCGCTGCAGTGGATGACCTGGGAGGGCAGGGGACGAGTCAGGTGACAGTGGCCCTGCTGACCAGGGCTTAGGCTGCTGCCTGCCCCTCCTGACTCATTGTTCTAGAAGGTTCTGGAATATTCCCCAGCCCAGCTTCTTCTGAGCTCTGCAGTCAACCTGATCTGCTGTGCTGCCCTCTTAGGAAGCAATGTCATGAAGTATAGGTGTTGTCTGAACCAACTGATTATGCGCAAGGAATCCCACCAATCAGGGGTCTTTCCTGTGCGGTAGATTCATATTAATTAACCCACTGACGGGGGCTGGGGATTTAGCTCAGCGGCAAAGCGCCTGCCTGCAAAGCGCAAGGTCGTGAGTTCGGTTCCTGGTACCGGAGAAAAACCAAAAAAAAAAAAAAAAAAAATTAACCCACTGACAAATTGTGATTTGAGAACAGGAGAAAAGCATTTTGTTCCGCTCCTGCTGCCCATGTGCTGCATGGGGACTCCACTTGGTAGTTAAAATGGCTCCACCCTTCCGGGGGGATTGAGTTTGATGTCTGCATTACCGACATGCTACATCACTCTGTAAGTTAAGAATTCACTACCTGTAGAATTTTTAAGGCTTCCTTTTGAATGTATTTGAAATTTTTATGTCTTGGGCTTATTGATCATTCAAGGTTTTAATAAACTATAGGCTGCATAAAAGCCCTTCCAAGTGTTAGAGCCAAAGCCCATATGGAAGAGAATGCATGGTGTCACGGTCAGGCAGAAACATCTGTGTGGTTTTAAGCCCCAAAATCAGAAGCACTCATAGTATTTCAAGTGAGTAAATGGGCTGGGGGGTGCAGTCAGTGGTACAGTGCTGCCTTGCTTCACACCCACACCCAAGGCCCTGGATAGGATCCCTGGCCCTGCTAAATAAATAAACAAATAAGAAAGGAAGGAAGGAATAAAGAAAGAAAGAGGAAAGAAAGATAGAAAGAAAAAGTCGCTAGGATCATGGTCACCATTACACTTGGTAGTGAATGCTAAAATCTTAGCCTTAAAATTATCTTTTCAAAAACCCTTCTTCCAGGATTCCTGAACATTTTAACATTTAGAGCTGAATAAATCTCAAAATCTTTCAAGTCAGCTCTCATTTTGCTGAGGAGAGAACCAAGCATGAAATAGATAGGTGGTGTATTTTTCTCAAAATTAGACAGCTGGACGGTTCATGAGAGGAGAAGCAAATCAAGACCCAGGTCATCTAAAGGGTCCCAATTGGGTGCAGGGTAAGGCAGGGGGCTCCCCAGGCTGGCCCAGAGAGGTCCAAAAAGGCTGGCATCAGTAAGAATAACTATCTCCCCACAAAATATAAAAACAGCATGTGCCAGGCCTTGTGGTGCATATCTGTAATCCCAGCACTCAGGAGGCTGAGGCAGGAGGATCGCCACAAGTTCAAGGCCAGCCTGGGCTACCTAGTGAGGTCAAAACCAGCCTATACAACACAGCGAGATTGAGTCTTCAAAAAACTGAAATAACTAAAATAAACAAAGGAACAAAACCAGAGTGAGTGAGGTAAAGATCACAGGGAAGAGCTCAGCGTGGGGCCGACTGAAGAGGGGTCGAGGGGCAGGGAGAGCCCAGGGCACCGGGGCTTGGGAGGGCATTCCAGGATGAACACGGGCACAAGGTGCCCATGCATCCCCCTCTGCCCCGCCTTCCCTCCTCTACTTCAAAGGGGCAGAAGCTCCTGGAAAAGGCCACCAGCTGCCTCCAGCTCCACAGTGGAGGCCGGAAGTGACCACTCTTCTCCCAGGCGGAAGAGTCGGCAGAGAAGACCCTTGGGAGAGGGGCGAGGCATCGGGGAGGGGACTGGAGGGTTGAAGGGCCTGTTCCCCCGACCTGTGCTCCAGTCTGGGAGCAGCTGACCTGAACCCTGTGGTGAAACACTGCCAGCTGGTGCCATGTTTTACACACAATTCCCTAGCTCTCAAGAGGCAGAGGCAGGAGGATCGCTGCATGTTTGAGGCCTGTGTGTGCTACATAGTGAGTTCAAGGCCAGCCTGAAATACATAGATGCTGTCTCAAAAAATCAAAACCAAACAAAACAAAACCTGCGGGCTGGCTCTTGCAGGTGACCAGTTCCTAGATTCCGGTGTTATCAGAGCAAGGAATCATGCCTCGCAGAGGCTGCTGCTCACCATCGCTGTGGGTAGCGGGTTTGGCCGAAGGTTCTGGAACATGAGCAATGTTTCTGTGCTCTGAGTTCTCCCTGCCGCCTTGACCTTGCCCTGAAGCGGGTTCTCCACACAAACTCCAGGGACAGCGGCACCACAAAAAGTAGAACTGTAGGTGCTGGGCTCACATGTCCCGAGCCACCTCAGCTCTTGGCCTGGTGTGATGAGACCCTCCCTGCAAGGGGCCAGCCCTCAAACAGGCCTTCTAGGCAGCCAGGAGAGGTCACTTGTGACTTCTGCCCTGGCCGGGTGACATGTTGGCTTCCAGAACCTTCCTTTCTGTGCACAATCTCGGGGGTGACACAGTGAGGCCCAAGCCAGCTCCTCCTGCCCCCCCAGGGCCCCGCGTACCTTGTATCCGCTGCAGGTCAGGCCCGCATTTCTTTTGGCCAAGACGCACTTCATTCGGAGGAAGAACGACCTCTCTATCTCGTATTCTGAAAGCAGGAGGGAGGTTCTGTGGGCGAATATCCCACCTGCTCCCCCACCTTCCCCCCCAACAGCTCTGAGAAACTCCCAGGGCCAGAGCCCCAACCCAGAGACCTTCTGCTGCAGCTTCTGCGGTCACCAAAGGAGGGCAGGCGACCCAAGGCGACAGCAAGAACCTGCGCAGGCCAGCCTGGGGCCAAGGAGTGGCCTGGCAGAGCTCCACCTGCCCGCATCCCCTCCATCCCCTGGCCTGGGCCAGTTCAGGGATGGGCAGCCGAGCTACAAGCAAGCCCCAGAAGTGTCTGACTTCTGTCAGGGTAGCAGATACTAAGGACCAGCCACAACCTAGCCCCTTTCCCTGGCAGAGGCAGCCAACCGCAGCACCTCCTGCCAGCTCTGCTGTGGGCTCTGAGACCCAGTGTGGTCCGATCAAGGCTCCGGCCTTCATTTCCAACTCTGGAAGAATGTCTGTGTCTCTGTCCTCCCGGGTCCCCTGACAGCTGTGACTAGGCCAAAGCTCTCTCTCCTTTCTTTCCCAGAGCACACACACAAATCTCCGGCCTGGCCATTGCACATGGCCCTTTACAGAAACACCTCTGCTCTCAGGGACGCCAGCATTCCCAGGCACAAACAGAAATGCCACACCTCTGGGTGAGGGTGAGGTCACCCACTCTAAATAAACAGCCACTTGGTGAAAGTTAATAAATTAATCTTTAAAGAAGAGTTACCACTAAGAATGGAAGCAAGGCCTTCCACATTCTCTGAGGGTGGAGACCACCCTCTGGAAGTTAGAGAATTACCACACAGGCTCCTGGCGGGGCTGCCATGTTTTACCCACAATTCCCCCCGCAGCCCGGATTCACAGGGCTGGAGCTTCGTCTAACCCGGCCACCTGTCTGGACCACGCCGCTAAGCGTGGCACTGTGGAAGCAGAGGTGCGAAACATCACCTGGGAATTCATGACCCATCCCGGGAAGGGCCCTCCTCTCACACATCTACCATAAAACAATGGGGGTTCCGTCAGATGCAGAAATCAACCCTGCAGGTGAGAAGTTATGGAGGAACCCCAGCCCGAAGCCCTCCGCTGGCACTGAAGTGTGTGACCCCCACACCCTAGCCTTGTCTCTGCTCCTTTCCCACTGTTGCCCCCCAGAGGTCCGACGGTCTCACGAGATTTCAAGCTTCCTTTGCTTTCATTTTGCGGGTATTTTGGAGGCTAAGCAAGGGGAAGGGGAAATGCAGGCAGGGTTGACGGGAGAAGCGGGCCCCGTGCGAGCAGTACCGATGCGGCGCTTCAAAGCCGCACCCCCATGTGTCCTGAGGAAGTCCCTAAGACTCCTGGGGTCTGTGTCCAGTGTTAACCCACAGTCAGAGGATCAGAATCAGATTCGGTGCTCTCACCTACACCCGCTGTGTTAGAAATGACTTCTCCAGAGTCATTTTTCTTGTTAGGTAGGCAGCTGTCCTGCTTCCAAGGAAGTAGGGCTCACAGCCCAGCCCCCATCTTGTCCCCGAATCTAACACAGCGGGCTCTCTCCTTAGGAAGGAGGGGTCAGACTCATAGGTATGTGATGGTCTCAGAATGGAATGTTTAAAACTTAAAAACCAAGAAGAAGAAATTTTGTAGGTATGTATATACAGGATAATTAACATGGTTGTTCTTCTGTCTTCTGTTTCTTTGCTGAAAGAAACTGTTAATGAGTCCTTGATTGACCAATATTGCATGTCTCTATCTGTTTTCATGAGAAGCCACTTTGAAGATATAAATATGTAATACAACAACCATTGTTAATTCCCTACCACTTTGTTTATAACTCCGTATTGTCTGTACTGTTCTTTTGCTATGTTGTAAAATGTTGTCTGTCTGTTAATTTTTTCCTCCTTTTATTTAAAAAAAAAAAAACAAAACAAAACTTAAAAACTGACTACAGTAAAAGACACACTGCCATAGGCCCTTCCCCACAGTACTCCCCCTGGCTTCCAGCACACCTATCCCGTCATTCTTCCAAGTTTCTGGAGCAGTTCCGCACGTCCTCTTTCCTGAGTGTCTTTAGTTGTGCTGTTGTGGCTGCCTCAGTGCTTTGAACTGATTGAAAACATTTACTGTTCAGGGGGCTGGGGATTTAGCTCAGTGGCACAACACCTGCCTGGCAGCGCAAGGTTGTGAGTTCGATTCCCGGTACCGGAAAAGAAAACGAAAAACAACAACAACAACAACAAAACCTTTACTGTTCAAGGTCATTTCTACTCAGGGAGAGCCAGAAGTCGCACAGTGCCAGACCTGGTGAAGAGGGTAGCTGTGGCCTGTGACGCCTGCTTCCTTGGAAACGGGGTAGCTGCCTGATTAACAGGATGAATGGCTCTGAAGAAGGGTCTGAAACAGGCAAGGCGTCCTGTACACTAGTAAGTTTTGTGCACATAGTGGCACACACCTATAATCCCGGCACCCAGGCTCAGGCAGGAAGACTGCTGTGAGTTCGAGGCCAGCCCGAACTACATAGCAAGACTGTCTCAACAACAGACAAACAAATTTTTAAAAATGTAAACATTCCCCATGCATTGTGATCACACCTTGCTGGAGCTAGAAATGAGGGACACAAAGCTGTAGCTGCAAGGGGTCTGACAGCTGAGTGTGCTCCTCCAGAGCTTCTAATAATGCTTCCCAGGGAGCATTAGAAACGGTAAGAATGGAACTCACTTTTTCCCTGTGGCTAACAACCCTCTTCTCATTGCTCCTGAAGTCTCATCGTGTATGCTTTGTTCCAGTGGGGAATTTTGGCCAAGGTGGGTGCCGTAGTCCAAGGCACACAGGAGAGCCATTTGTCAGCATGCCTGCCGGCCTCACCGTACACTCACAGGGGGGGTTAAAAGGCCAGGGCCCCTGGAATCAATTCTGTGTCCTCCTAGCGCTCACTGCAGCTATGATTTAAGGAGTCGCTTGGGTGACACCCAGGGCTGCTTAAGTGATGTGTGCCGTGGCATAACGCCTAGATCCCTGCTCAGAGTAATTAATGCTCTTAAATGTGTAAAATAAAATACGTAAGATTACACAAGGAAAAGTTATCAAAATACTGAAACACACAGTGACATGGAGGTGAATGTGCTGCTTTGTCACTACACTACATAACAAGATTCAGTAGCAGGGCTCGGAACCCCTGGAACTTCAAAGTAGCTGCGAGCATAAACCATGTGTTTAACTCTCCACAGTGACCTAATACGATGTGAAAATATTTTTGACGTGTGTGCTTAGCAAAACCCTGGGACTATAATTCCCAGGGCAGCCTACAGGTCAGTAGCAAGGGAAATGCTAAATTTCATCTAGAGGAAAGAGAGGTACAATTATCTCTTCAAAATTGCGTGGCCCTCCCAGCCCCTAGGTCCTATCTATACAAGCAGCGGCCCGGGCCTAGACCCTTAGACACTGCCGTGCTGGAATTCAAAGCCAGGAGTCTATAAATGAGGGGAACAGGCTTTGATCACTTTTATCTCCAACTCTGAACAGTCTCTGGCACTTAAGAGGGGTTCAGCAATGTTGGTTTAAATGGCAGAAGCAAGCTGGATGTAGTGGCATGCACGCCTACAATTCTAGTACTTAGGAGGCTGAAGCAGGAAGATCTCAAATTTGAGGCCACCCTGGGTCACACAGCAAGTTCAAGGGTAGCCTGGATTAACTGAGACTCTATCTTCAAAACAAAACAGAACCAAAAAAACAAGGCACAAATGTCAACCTCCACCTGGTGGGTGCTGGGTGTGTGCCCTAGTCAACCCCCAACCCCTTGGTAGGTGTGGGAAGCAAAGCCCTGGTCACAGTTAAGAACGGGGCCTGCTTCCTTCCAGTCGTCCAAATACCTTGGAGCAGGTGATGGTGGAGAGGCGGGTGGGCCGCGAGGACAGCGGTCATCTCGTCGTGGTCAGAGGGATGGATGTACTCATAAATACTATTGCCCGTGAGCTCCACCTGGTGAGGGAAGGAAGGGTCACAAATGTCACCAGTGGCCTCTCAGCGAGGGGCCCGGTTTGCACGCTGCCGGGGACAGGACTTGGGTCTCCCCTCACAGCCCACAGCTTCTCCACACAGGAAACATTTGCCTTTGTCCAGCCGGCCCCAAACCATCTGCCATACATGACAGAGCCCGAGGCCTTCTGAGAACCCCAAAAGGAAAGACACAAGGGGGGCTTGGAGGAGGGAGCGGGCGCGCCTGGCAGTGCGGCATGGAGAGAAGCCGGCCAGCTGGGGACAAGACTGCTCCCGGCCCTCCGGCACACGCGAGCGCCATCGAGGGGCTGTGGGGGAGCAGCCATGCCCTCCTGGGCGCCCTCCTGTCCCCTCCGGCCGACCAGCCCAGAAGCGAGGTGTGGAGGGCCTGCCCGACAGCGGCTCTTTCTCCCTCAGCTCTGAACCAAGACGCAGACACTGCCAGCCTCTCTCACGCTGCCAGAAATGTGTCCCTGGCTTCCCGGTCCAAGATGACGGTGCTGATACTGGGGCTCCCGCCCAGGGGCGCGGCTGGGTCTCTGCGTGACTTGCAGGAGGACTTGGGTCCCCTCCAGAGAGCCTCGTGATGTGGCGATTATTTCCTGGGGTTGCTACCTCCCCACGGGGACACCACCTCCTTCCAGACGCGCCACCCAGGAGACAGCTCGGCAGGCCTCTGGGCCGACGCCGCGTGCAGGAGTGGCGACTCCGGGAAAACCACGCCGTTCGGGTTTTTCACTCAGAAGTGCAATTCCTGATCCTCAGAACCTTTCGAGCGTCCTTAACACAAATGCTGTGAGGCCGAAGACCTCTCCAAGCCCTCAGGGACAGAGGGGCGGAGGCAGCAGAGCCTGGTCCCTGGCTTTGGGGCTGCAGTCATGCGGCCCACAGTTGGCAGAGGGACATCTGTCCGGAGGCCACCGGGTACTACCAGCTCAGGGAGCAGCGCAACCAGCCAGGTGGCTTCCTGAGAAGGAATCCTGCGCCCAAAAGGCTTTCCTGGTTCTGTTTCCTGCATTACTCATGGAATGTTTCCTTCCAACCCTGTGCAAACAGAGCCACGGAGAAAACCCAGGACAGAAACCCTCTCTACACGCCCTTCACACCGAGGCTCTGTGACTGACCCCCTCGGAGATGGGCCTACGTGGAAAGTTGGTGTGTGATTTCATTCCTGGTAATCCTAGAAAGTTGAAGTAAACCAGCAACATTTAAGCCAGGTTTTCGAGACAGGACGGTCCCTTCCTTCCTGAGGATTCAATGTGAAGTTCTGTCCAGGTGGGGCATTAGAGGCTAACAAATAGGGAGTCGGCTTTTTGTTTTAATTCACTATTTCAGTGGGATTTCTTTAATGAAAAAAATAAAATGGAAAAATTTTGTTGCCAGACGTGGTGGACATGCCTGTAATCCCAGCTTTTGGAAGGCTGAGGCAGGAAGATCCCTGGGAGTTCAAGGCCAGCCTGGGTTCCATAGTGAGACCCTGTCTCAAAAAAAAACATTGTATTGGCCGATCATTTCTCCCATACCCACGTTTTTAAGGGAAAATGATCAAACCTTCTGGTTTGCTTGAAGTTCTTTTTGAGAAAAAAAAAAAAAAGTACATACAGGGTGGCATTGTAGAGAAACATCTTCAGGAACTTACAGAAAAGCTTGTATTGGGGCTGGAGATTTAGCTCAGCAGCACAGCGCCTGCCTGGCAAGCGTGAGGTCATGAGTTTGAATCCCGGTACCAGGAAAAAAAAAAGAAAACCTTGTATCTCTGCTTTTCCAAAATCAGATTTGTGTTTTAACCCCAAAGTTGTTCATCCATTTTCAAAGCTCCTATTATCATCATGAGTTGGAAAAGGGAGAGGGTGAAGGAGCATGGAGAAAAAGCTTGTTTTCTGAATTTTTTTTTGAGACAGTGTCTCACTATGTAGTTCAGCCTGGCCTTGAACTCACTATGGAGCCCTGGCTAGTCTCAAACTCTTGGGGATTCTCTTGCCTCAGCCTCCCGAGTGCTACAATTACAGGTGTGCACTGTGATCCCCTGTGCTATTCTGAATTCTTGGGTCCATTATAAAACGGACTGGAAAACTCAAACGCTGTCTTGAAAGTAAATCAGCCTTCAAATAACGGAAATGTTTTTACAGAATGAATTTTGGAATGATAAAAGAGTTCTGACCTTAATTCAGAATTATGGTTGACATGGTATTTCCTGTGCTTACATATCTATTCATGCTTTTGAATGCTGGAACAAATGTGACTCCCTCCCCCTTCTCTCTCTCTCTCTATATATATATATAATATTTATATAATTGTAAATCCATAAAGAGAGGGAGAAAATAGTTGCTCCTAAACTTGCAGGTAGGTATCGCACAACAGCCTTATTAAAGCAGAACTTCCATGTGATATTTTAGTATTTGCAAAACCCCGCTAATTACAAAATGAAAGACTTTCTACTAAGAGCTTTTTTATGTTTTGCCGAATAGCTTTGCCTCCTGCCAGGCAAGCAGCCGATGATAGACGCAAGCCTAAAATGCGCAATCTTCGAGTCAGGGCAGGACAAGCGGCACTGGGAAAATGCACAGTACGCTGTATGGGGGTTCTGCTGAGTATGGTAAATTAAGCATGCTAAAATAAGATGGTTTGAGTTTCAGGGTTCAAGTTATGTCAACAAACATAAAATACTATCCTTTTTTTTTTCCTTCTGAATGGGAGAAGTGGGTCCTGTGTCTTAAGCAACACCCTCTCTATTTTTATGGCTGTGTTTCCGGCATCAATCTCAAATATTACATTTTTCTTTATGTGTCTCATAAACAGCTATTTCATACATGTCTGTGTTTCTTTGAAAACGGGTATTAGTTATCTAGGTGTTTGTATAAGGCATGCAACTTTGGTAAGGAAATCTCAGCCATAAGGAGCCCTAAACGTGTGTACAAGAACAACTATACAGAGGGGCTGGGGATTTAGCTCAGCGGCACGGCACCTGCCTGGCAAGCTCGAGGTCATGAGTTTGATTCCCAGTACCGGAAAAAAACCAAAAAACAACAACAACAAAAAAAAAAAAAAACAAAACAACTATATGGAGCTTTCTCCCCTGTCTCAAATATGAGTAAAAAGAATTGCATTATTTAAAAAATAACAACAAGGAGTAAATAATTTAGTAAGTGTGCACAGCTAAAAGCGCCCCTCTCAGTACCCTCTCCGAATAAATTTAATCGTGTCTGTGTTTCATTCGCGCACACACGTATGTCTCAGCCCCTCAGCGGAAGGGGCAACTTGTATTTTGTGGTTATCCTTGTCATTTTTGTGGTACCAAGGTTTACAGTAATGATCGCGTGTGGTAGTTTAAAAACAGAAATAAACTAATAAACTCTATCATGGGGAGTAGCTCTCTTAGTCTGACACTTATAAAAAGAAGTTTACTAAGAGGCTGTACGTGGAATGGAGATGGGCCTATAGCATATGAAAATTACTGAATCTTCACATAGATAATTGAGATAATTATTTGGATAGTCCAGACAGAACCAGAATAAGACAGACCAACCCCTGTTGCCTCGAATGGCCATGTGATTATAGCAAAGCTAAGGGCTTATGGTGCCCATAGCCACGAACAGGGAGTTTAACTCTGACCTAGACGACCCTCACTAAGGAGATAATGTCATTGAGAATAACTGAAAGAGCACAGCAGAGCTCCACGTAAGTATAAGCTGGTACGACTACTGCTGTTCAGCAGGAAGTCTACGGAAAGGGTTTTCCTGCTTAGTGGGTAAAACTTTATTAACACTTTGGTGGGTTGCTTGTGCGTGCACACACGCTAGGTACCAAACCCAGAGTGACACGAAAGTCTAACACACGCTCTCCCACGGATCTACATCTCCAGCCCCCTATATATTTTTTTAATCTCTGGTGACTTTTTTTCTTAAAAAACTTTAAGCCAATTTTTTTTTCCAGGGCTGGAGATGGAAGCCAGGGCCTTGTGTACGGCAGGCAAGTGCTCTGCCACGGAGCTATATCCCCAACGTATACACTATTTTCATAAAGTTTTCATGTTTGTTATATGTGCCTGATGCTTTGCTAATAAAACAATAATCGAAAAGGGGCAAAACATTTTTTTTTTTGGTACTGGGAATCAAACTCGCGACCTTGCGCTTGCTAGTCCGTCGCTTGAGCCGCTGAGCTATATCCCCAGCCCAAAACATTTTTAAAAGAGCAGCTGGGTGTGTGGCATCCTATTTAATACCGTATTTTACCGTTTAAGTGAAGAAAATGGAAAAAAATACACACGGTGACTCTGTCTAGCTTTCCTCCCATGGAGTTAATCATGAACAGCCCCAGACTTGAGAGCAGGTCATTGCTGCTTCTCTGACTAGTTCCCTATGCCACGTTTGTAGCCGTGGAAAAAGACTCACCCAGCCTTGCAGAAAAATCGGTAAAATACCAGTTGCTGTACACAGTTTGGCTTATCTTTTTTCACACTGTCTCCTCTACCGGAAACAGATAAATGGTATCTCTACGACTTCCGGGGAAATGGTAGCACATGGTCCCTTTCTCCCTTCAACGTGATGATACGAGCTGTGTTTCTGCATATGATCAGAAGGGAACGTAACGCTTTTACGCAAAGACTGCCTAGACTTCCCCCCACAGAGCTAAGCATGAACGAAAGGCCTGGCTGTCACCTCTCCAGTATCCTGGTTGTTCTTAATTAGTGGATTCATAATCGGTCCCCTCTACTTTGCACATAAAAAGGGAAAATCACAGAAAAATAGGATGGTAGACTGAGTTGCTCGGCTACATTAACCGGACTATTGCGGGAGTTGCATGGAAGCAAGTAATGTGTGAGGATGCGAAAGAGACAGAGAGAGAGAGACAGAGAGAGAGAGAGAGAGAAAGAGAGGGAGAGAGAGAAGCCCAAATGGCCACACAGCCTCCACTGGTGCTCACAAAGGATTGTACTTGTAACTTTGTTCTAATGAGACTGTGGGGCTACATGGCTTTTGTATAGTTCCCTATAGTTTATGTATCACATAACATGGTTACTTTGATCTGTTTCTCACTGTCACCCTGAAAGAGGAACACAGCAGGCCTTGTTTTATTATTTATGGCTCCAGGACATTAAATTCCTGCCCTGTTAGACAAAACCATACAACTGAGTACATTTCCCTTTTTGCTTTGATGGCTAGGGAGCTCAGACCTCAATTTAACATTCAACAACAGTGAAGATTTTTTTGCCAGTTATCTTAAAAGTACGTGACATGTTTTGTTATGTTCGCTGACATTATTGTGAGACTACCCATGGTTTTATAAATTTCAACTGAAGAAAGTAAATAATCCAATCAAGGTCATTCAGCCATAATTGTCAGGAATAGAGACCAATCCGGATAAAACTAAGGAGCTCTGTGATTAATTCTAAATAGGGCAAAGTGGGCATTTGGAGAATAGTAACCCTGGGAAATGTAGAAACGGTGATTGTGAGGGAGCTGGGGACTGAGCCCAGGGCCTCATGTGTGCGTAGCCTGTGCTCTGCCCCTGAAGGGGACCCCCAGCCCCACAGAAATAGCACATTTCATATTCTCAAAAGTATTTCCCATTCTGCAATCATACTGATTCCCACAGGTCGAACAGGGTAAGGGTCAAGCCTTAGTAAACTGGGAGAGCAGGTCTCCTAGAAGGAAAGAAATGAAAGCTCCAAACAGTTTTAAGATGCAGTTCATTTCAAAGGGCTTTGCATAAAAAACACGTAGGCACATAAACCCAGGTGGACGTAAGGGCCTACAGCCCCAGGGAGAGAAGAGCGTAAGCCAGCAACAAGGTTTTCAAACACATACCGGCAGGAAAAAAAAAAAAAGGAGTACCCCAAATGGTAATTTTGCTTTTCAGTGAGAAAACTCAAGCCACAGCGATGGGCACGTGGCTTGGGCCACAGGACTGCTCACATTTCTCCGTCTTTCCTTCATCCTAGTGTCCTTGTGCGGACGGAAAGCCCCGCTGATCACTCACAGTGTAAAGGAACATTTTGTCCCTATGCCTATAAAAATGAGACGTGTAGCACCAGGTCCCACGCTTATTAAGTCAGACGTGTGCCTGGGGATGATCCGTCTGTCTGTCCCCGTTCCAGCGCACACAGGCTCACACAGCAGCCGATTGGCCACCAATGCTCCGCATGCTGGCGTGGAGAAGTCGGGCACTGCGGTCTCCTCTAAGGGATGTGCCATCTTCAGAAGATAGGTCCCCTTGTCCAGGACAACTGCTAAGACTGGAATGTTCTAGAGAAAGCAGGACCTTGCCGGTGAAACAGTAGTAAACTACGTTTTATGAGTTTCTATCACAAGCATATAAAATGCTTTACTGAAATGGCCACTGAACTGGAAAAACTCAGAAAAAGGGACTCCAAATTTCACGTGAACACCCATAAATCTCCCCCTCCCCTTTCTGTCTCCCCAAAGCGCACACGGCTGACAATGCGAGCTGCACGCCGGCGTACCTCGCCTCAAAGTCATGCAGGAACCTGCCGGGTGCACCCTGAGACGCGTGGGCAGCACAGACCGCTTGGGGACGCTCTTTCTGCGCCCTCTGACATTACGAGGTAAGCAACAGTCCGTAGGTATTGGACAGAATCTCAGCATGAGGCTGCCTAGGTGGAGACATAGTGGTCCTTAACCCCAAAGGAAAAAAAAAAAGTTAAAAAAGTACAATGCAGCAATAAGAAGAAAACCAGAGTTTTGCAATTATGGTTTATATTCCACACACAAAGCAGATGCTGAAACAGACTCATTTTCAGATTGGGCAAGGTAGTCAAGGTCCACTAACACTTCACTGAATGATTTGATCGTACATAAAATCAGGCAGTACCTACCTGGGACAGGCCTAAATGTACAGAAGCTGTCTCAGATATATACATGATTTTGCCATCCGATGCTACCACAAAAACAAATCCATCCAAAGTCTGTAAAAGAGAAAGCGTCAGGGTAAGAGGTGAACAGTTTTACATTAGAAGTAAACGCAGCAACGGCATAGTCACTGGGCCGCACATATAAAACATTACGGGCTAGGGGTGCAGCTCAGTGGTAGAGCGCTTGCCTAGCGTGCCTGAGGACCTGGGTTCCATCCTCAGCACAGGGAAAGAGAGGAATTACCCGGGAATAAATAAAAATGGGGAGGGGGGCGCAGGGCCATAAGGACTGCAGGGAACAACATTCAAGGTTTATTCCCAAAGCCGGGCCCTCAAACGCTTTTAAAGCACTTTAAAAACAATCTGACAGCCACCTCCCCAAAATCACGCACAACAGTGGAGAATTCCTACCCTGCTCCATTTGAATTTAGTAGCTTTATTGTGTGGGGTTACTTTAGCACTTAGCACAAATCCAGAGCTCTATGGTTCTTAGGGGAACGCCTACCACTCTATAGGCCATTTAACATCATAATTGGACTCATTTATGCCACTAGGACATAAGCTTTATTTGCCACGATTTTCTAGGTGCCCCCAAGCACCATTTGAATAATAAATTCCAACCACTACCAATCCCCAGAAAATAAAACAAAATACCTAATATTTTACCAGATGATGTCTACAGAATTAACTATTCAGGCTTTGTAAGAGATCAAATAACCTTTGCCAAAGTCAAGGAGAAAAAGTATCAACTTCTGAAAAATTAAAACTAGCTAAATGAAATTGTAATTTTTGCCTAAGTTGGCTAGACTTCCAAAAATAAAATTACAAGCAGTAACTCCAGAAAAATAAAAAGGGAATGATTATATTTATGTGTTAAGGATAAAAAGACTAAATAATTTTTGAAAAAGGAAACTATTTTATTTACTCATTCATCTATTTCAGATCCAGAACCAAAGAAAAGCAATAAAGCCGGTGAAAGACCCACACAATCCTCAATACTACTCCCATAAAAAATATTCCAAATTAATTTCTGGCCACAAATTCTATTTTTACAGCATGTAATTGAAACCAGATTACCTTTGGGTTTTCTACCTCCTCCTTTGAGGGGGCTAGAAAAGAAACAACGCAGAAGTGAAACTTGAAAGATAGCCTTACAGTTTGCTGCCTCAGATATAACTTGCTGCAAAAATGCAGTTTGCTAAAACACAATCTGCGGCAACGATCCTTCACCAGTAAACTGTGCTTAGCATCTTCTATGTTCAGGCTGAAGCGAGCATTCTGATTCCCAGCCTCATTTTCAGGGTTCTAACTCTGCTACAAAATATTTTCCCAAGTAACCCTGTGACATTTCAGAAACGTGAACTAAAAAGCCACTGCTAAAGTTTTAAAGGCTTTGGCTTATTCTACATGCTGCTTAACTCCAAAATCATTAAAAGGATGCACTGAGGGAAGGAAATCCCGCAGAATAACTTGGAAAGCGAGGAAAAGGGAAAAAGTTCTCATCAGTAAGTTCTACAACTTGCCAGCGGTAGCTAAGATAAATAGTATTCTTCATGGAAAGTGTGAAATATGCCTTCAAAACTTCAAATTACCTAACTCACTTACAGGTATAATTAGTGCAAAGCCGACCGCCAGCACGCCCGCCAGTCAGGAATTAAAGGTGCAAGGGAGCTGCGTGGGGCTGTTGGCTTTGCCCATAGGGTTTTCACTGAAGTTCTCCGGCACTTAGCTGTCCCGATATTAGTGTCGTTTGTAATATGCACGGGCATGAAACAAGGAAGTCGCCAGCAGGGAGCTGGAAGGAGCGAAGCTGCCCGGCCGGCCCAGGGTGCAGGCCACCGGGCTCGCTTTACATTGCAAAACCTCCAGCTCCCAAATTCTCCCCAGGATCTTTTCTCTGCCCCAGCACATGCGTTTTAAAAAAATAAATCACACCTAGGCATTCGGGGCCCACGTTTGGAAAAGACCTGGGTTTTTCAAAATACAGAGCTGAAAGCTGGTTCGCAGATCTAAGTCACCAAAGCCCACAGCCAACGTTTTTCTTCCCGTTTAAAGAAAACACAAAATAGAGGGAGGAAATGCAAAACAGCTCTCGGCAGGCATTTTTCGATGGCAGAGACAAATGATGGAAGGGGGAATGAATAGGTCGTTGAGGAGGCTCTGTAAAGGGCGTTTGAAAGATTCCGGGACGTGGGGCAGCGCTGTCCTCTGCCAGCGCCAGCGGCTGCCCTGGAAGGGGCTGGTGCCGGCGGTCACGCAGCCAACCAGAGCCGGAATCTTGGGGTGCACGACCGTGCCCATGAAAGCGGAAAACCCACGTGACCCCTGCAATCTCACTCTCCGGCGGCGAGTGGCCTTGGTGGGGGGAGGGTCCCAAAGAGCCTGACCCCAAACTAAGCAAAGACTCCAAAATCAGGTCCCATGGGGGCCGCACCAAGTCCTGGTTCTTGCGTTGGGCCAGTCGGGTGACAGCTTGCTGTGTGACCACAGGCGTGTTACTTAACTTCCCCGCGCCTCATCTTGCTCCTCTGAATAAAATGAAGCCAAAAGCGGTGGGGCATGCCTGTAATCCCAGCACTCTGGGAGGCTGGGGCAAGAGGATTAAAAATTCTAGCCCAGCCTGGGCAATTTAACAACGAATAGCAAGACCTTGTCTCAAAATAAAAAAAAAAATAAAACAGGGTTGGGGATGCGGCTCAGTGTGAAAAGTGTGTGTTCAATTCCCAGTATCAAAATAATATCATCATCATCCTAGCAGCAGCCCCCAGGTGGTTGTTGGAGGGCGATGATGACGTGTGAGAAGAATCTGGTTTGTAATAAACTCAAGAGCCACCCTGAGTTTATGGATGCTGTTGCCTCGTCCCTGCAGCCTCTGCAAGCGCATCCCTGGGCTTCCAAACGCTTTAGAGCGCAGGCCTCACAGCAACTCTTGCATCTTTGGCTGCTGCCCCTGGACACAGGTCAGGGCAGAGCTGAGTCAGGTGGGAACGACCAGACCCACGGCCGGGCCCAGGGCCGCCGTTCAGCCTGAGGCTCTGCGGGGCTGGAGACCCCCGGGGGTTGGGGGTGGGGTAGGGCTGGCCTGAGGCTGCACCAGCCCTAGCTTTGCACCTGGTCCTGTCCCTCCGGAGCAGCAGCGCCCCGGGGCAGCAGTGGATTCTCGAGCCTGGGGTGGTAGGGTCGTCAGGGAGGTGGCTCTACCTGCAGCAAGTGCGATCCCAGCTCCTTGGCAACGCTGTCCAGGGGCCCGGCACGGCTTGGCTGTCCCCATGCGTCTCCTAAACCTGGACAGGGAAATAAAACAAACCATTAAATGGCAGTGTCCTGCAAGCCGTAGGGTACAGGGGTCTCCACACCTGCACCGCTGCCCTAAGTCTCCATACCGGCTCCTTGCCCAGCAGGCTCACACCTGTGTCCTCACACTTGCCCCTTAGCCCTCTGTTAAAAAAGAAAAAGGAAGCCAGGTGTGGTAGCACATGCCAGTAATCCCAGCACTCGAGGCTGAGGCAGGAAGATTGCTGGGAGGCCAGCCCCAGCTATATAGTGAATTCAAGACTAGCCTGGGTTATAGTGAGCCCCTGTCTCAGACGATTGATAGATTAGATTAGGTTAGATTAGATAGATAGACAGACACACAGACACACAGACAGGTATCCCTGCGCACTGACCTTCCAGGCCGACCACTCCCACGGGTGGCACAGATGCTCATGGCTCTGAAATTGCCGTTTTATTTGAAATGCCACAAAGTAATCTAATCTGCTTTGAAACTGGCCATCCTCGTAGCCAAACGGGGATATCGATTTGGCCCATAAATACTCCCCCAAGGGTCCCCCTCCCCCATATCATTGGCAGCTTTGCCTTTTCCCAGAGACAGCCGCCTGAGAGCCGCTTGCATCCCACAGCAGCTTTTCCTGATAACAGAAAGAACTCCCACCAGGGTGCCTCTGGGGATCCCGGCCCTCCAACCCCAGGGCTCTGGGCCGGGAAGGGCTCCAGGTGGTGACAGCCACACTGGGACCAGGCAGGTGTCCTCACCCCTTCACGCCCTCCCAAGGTGCCTGACCTTCCCCCAAGACCTCCCAGGCCACCAGCGACTTGCCTCAGAGACCCTGCTCCTAGGGTTCAGACTAAGCCACAGTGGGGCAGGGGAGAACCTTTACCCTCTCCCCGAACCCTTCCTCCGGGAGCCTGGCCCAGAAGTCTGCAGTTTGCTCAGGGTGGCAAAGGCCCGGACCGCTTCCCGTTCTGCACCCCCAGCCTGGAGCGCAAAGAGCGCGCGAGTGCTGCCCCACTCACAGAGCGCAGAGCACCCATCCAGGCTGTGGATGCGGCCAGCTGGCGCGTGCTCCTGGGAACTGCCGCCCGGGTCTGCCCTGAGGACCCAACCACAGGTCAGGAGCCACCAGGATGGTGCGGGAAGCGCAGGCTGGGAAATCTGGCCAGCTGTGGCGAGTCCGCATGTCCCTGGGACCGCCACGAAGTGGGTTTCTGGAGGGTCCCCTCTCTGTCCCTGTGGACACTCAGGGCTCCTTGGCTTCTGGATGTTTCTACTGACCAGAAAATGCACCTCCTGTTGCAGGCCAGTGGCTTTGCAGACCCCTCCTGAACACCATCTAGCAACTGTTTTTAAAAAAAGGATGATCTTCAATATCTCCTCCTGTATATTAAAGTTCTGCCAATCCATAAGGAAGTAGCTGATTTTCCCATATCCCGATTCCCCAAATGTGACAGCAGTTCCTTTTCCGTGGCCCCTCAGCCTCTGTGTGTGGTGGCGGCTGCTTAACCCAAGGACACTGCTTTCACCCCAAGCTCCACCACCTTGACCCCAATTTGCTCTGGACCTGTACAGGAAGCCTGCTGGTGGTGACCCCTATCCCATTTAAACCAAAACAGAAAGAACAAAAATGTAACTGGTCCCCAGGCTTGGGTGAAGAAAGAATTTAATAAAGATCCAGGAAATCTGCTTTTGGGAAATAAGCACATGTCTCTCTCTGGCCTGCTCTGGGTCATTCTGGGTTTGCCCTTTGCAGTTCAAAGGTGAGCGCAGCCTCTGACCTCTGGCTTCTTTCTCCCAGGATCCCCAGCGCGAAGGCCTGGGGTCAGCTCTATCGCTGAGAATGGTCCCCAGGCCCGACTCTCCTCCTCCTTGCTGGACTCTCAAGCCCCTCATTGAAGGCCCTGGCTCTACACACACAGGACACCAGGCACACGAGATAACTTTCCATACAATTCAAATACCCAGATATTTCAAGGCAGCTTGTTCACTTAATCACCGTGCTTTTTTCTAGAACTTTCGAAGGCTTCCGCTTTGCCAGGGGAGATTTGGCATGTATGCCCTGTCGGGATCTGGCAGGAGGTGGCCTGGTGGCCCAGGACAGTTCTGCCAAGCCCTCCCCGCCCTGTGCCACCGCACCCCAAGGCAGTGGTGCTGCCAGCTCTTCCATTAGGAGCCACTGTGGGTGAGGTCTCTGCACTCAGCCCATAAAAATCTACTTCGGGCTGAGTGCAGACGGAATAAGGTTTTACCAACAAAAACTCGTCCTGGTACTGTGAAGCTGCGGGCACTACAGAAGAGCGCTCTGCACGTGTGGCCCTCATTTGGCTCTAAGAAAGGGATTTATTTATTTGAAAAGTAGGCGGGTGCACCTGAACACAGGCTAAGCTTCTCCGGGGCTGGGGGTGGTCTGTCTGCGGACCCCTGGTGCTGCCAAAACAGCCCAGGCTGGGCTCTCCCAACCCTACCAGCCTCCACCGGGCAGGCTGGGGACCCCTGGCTACTGGATATTTTAGGCAGTCCCTAAGGAGAGCATAGCCTATATGCCCACTTCTGCGGGTTAGCCTTGAGGCACCCTGGTTCTGGCTTGTCCCCAGGGTTTATCCACTTGGTATCAGATACCACCTCTGCAGAAGCTGGCTAAATCTGCTCTTGGGCTGGGGATATAGCTCAGCGGCATAAGCTCCTTCCTGGCAAGTGCAAGGTCGTGAGTTCGATCCCCGGTACCACAAAAAAATAAAAATAAAAAAAATTGCTCTCTCCCCTTTGGGCTACTTAGTCAATCAACACACAGCTCATGAGCAGCTAAATGGGACCCTAGCAGGCCGCAGATGCTGGTCACAGGTGGTGAACACAGGTGGTGAACACAGGGAAAGGAAGGGAGAAAGGGGGACGGTTCCCACCCTTCCTGCGGACCCGCTGGCGATGACCCCAGCGATGGCCATGCTGTCCCAGAGAGCGAGCCGGGACTGGGGAGGAGACGAGGGGCAGCCACTCCCTTGCTTCCCTCTCTTCGCAACCTCAGGGACCTAAGCAACCAAGGTTAATAACCTGGAGGCACCTGTCCCCACCCAGCCCTTCACGGAAATTTAGATGACGGCGAAAAATTCAGGGCAGGTTTGGGGAGCCCCTCCAGCCCCAGAAGTCTCACCTTCACCCAGCCATCCTCTAGGAGGCCAGCCTGGCCGGCCGGGGGCTGGATATCCAGACAGTGCCCGGCCTCTGATCCTTCCTTCTCACCCTGAGACGGGGTCGCGGTGGGCTCACGAGCCGTCCCCGCCACCGCCGCCTCCACCCAGACCCTGTCCTCCCTCCTCTCCTGCCGGATCCCAGCCTGCTCTCCAGGGAAGGTCCGAGCAGGAGCGCCGCAGCTGCTCTGTCAGCCAGGCGCAAGGCCACACTTCGGGATGGATTCAACCACTCCAAGGTGGGCTGCCGGGTCCTCTCCGCCCCGTCCAAGCGCACAAGGGCGCTTGGTGCAGAGGCTGAGTGTGAAGGCCGCCACCCCGACGGCAGGGCAGTGAGCTTGGGGCTCTTTCTAGGGCGACTGAGTGACCCGAGCCTGTGCAAGGATGTTTGGGGCGGGGGACCCCCACCTTGCTGCCCTAGGAGAGCCTGCAGCTTGCGCTTCTCATAAGCACTCCCTTCTGTTCTTTCCCGGGTCCCTAAAAATCCTCCCCTCAAGTCTCTTTTCAAATCAACGGGCCGGACAGAAATGGAAAAGGGGTGCAGGGAAGAAGCCCCAAGAGGGTCTCCCGTGCTGGCAGAGGAGAGAGGAAAGCGGAGACTCCAAGCCCAGGACCACCTAGGGTGAAAGTCAGCTTCCGCGGATCGGATCGCAGGCGTACAGCAGGCACGAAGGTGGCTCCCTTTCCCCGCTGCGGGGCTCAGTCCTCCCGAGCCCTGGTCCGCAGCTCAGGCACCAGGTTCACACTGTGAGCCCCCCGCCTGCGCCCACGCGCTGGGACACCACGCCGACAGCAGCCTGGAGCACGGGCCTGCTGCGCAACGGAGCCACATTCCCCGCTGTCGAGTTCCACCAGAGATGGGGGACGGCTGTTAAATTCCACAGCACTCTAAAAAGCAAGCCAATGCGCACGATCTCGGGCTGCGGTACAGAAGGGCCTTGGGTCTAAGACTCCACGTCAATATGGAGGTTTTCCACCAAACCACGAAAGAACCCAAAGTGTGCCGGCTCATCCCCACGGGGTGCTCGGCTGTGTGACAGAGCGGTGGGCCTCCTGGAACTGAATTTAACTCGAAGGAACCCAGCCACGGGGCAATCCAGGACTTAAACCCCACTTGTGTGTGAGTGTATGTGCGTGCGTGCGTGTGTGCGAGCATGTGACATTTCCTTTTTTCACTACACTGTCTTGATAATGTAACACTATCATTACAGCGCTCTCTCTCTCTCTCTCTCTCTCTCTCTCTCTCTCTCTCACACACACACACACACACACACACACACACACACACCTGCCCCTGGTCTTTCCGGTCTGGGAAACGGGAGGAGAGGACTCCCTTTCTACTCCACTCTTGAGCTGGGACCTTCAGAGGGTCTCTCTCCCCACCATCCCTGTTCGAGATTGAGATACGAGGAAAAATCACCCCTTGCTCCACCGCTTGGTGCCAGCATCGGGATTCCCGGGGGGCCGAACTCCCCGGGCCCGGACGCCGGCGCCAGCGGCTGCTAACCCTGGATTGGCCCAGACCCCGGCATCCGGCTTGAGGATAAGGCCAGGAGCCACCAGAGCCCCTCAGCCCCGCGCCTCTGCGGAGGGCCACAGAGCTGCAAGGGGTGCGGACAGCCCAGAGCCCCCAGCACCGCCACGGTCCCTGTTTACCTGCTTCCAACCGCCCAATAAACTCACCCAGTTTCCAACTTCCAGCCACTGCCAGCACTGCTCTGCAGCCCTCTTCCTAGTCCTGTCTGCCCCTCCTTAGTTCCGCAGCTGGCGAGGGAAACGGTGGTCACCCGGAAAGCAGCGGGTCTCTAGGCTCTGGGCAGCTGTTCCTTCCACCTCTGCATTTAAACTGTGCCCGGTTTGGGACACACCAGAAATTGATGGGACCAGCGACCGGGGCAGATTTGCACCTACACTGCAGGTCCCTTCCTGCATCTTCACGCTGGTCACAAATCCACCCCTGGATTTGCTAATGGGCCCATTTCACAAAGGGACCGAGGCCAGTAGTGCAAGGTGACCATGCAGGCTTCAACCCACTGTAAGACTCGGAAGCTTTCTCCAAGCCTGAGGACCAGCTTCTGGGTGGGCGATGTCCTTGGCTACCTCTGTCCTGGTATGGGGACTTCCCTGAACTCTTTACGGTGGTCTCTCAGGTGCAGAAAAAGGGCAGGCGGCACACCTTGGGGGAACCTTGCTGTGGAACCTTGGGGGAGGTTTGTCCCCTCTCCGGCTACCAATTTCCCCAGGTAGGAGGAGTGTGCCTAATGATTCCCTCATTTCCTTCGGACAGTGCTGTTTATTTCCAACTTCCGCGGTGCTAAGCTGGTCTCCAGATTCCTCTTTCCCCAGGAAGCCCGCTTTCGCTGGGCAAAACCTCACTTGATAGACACATTCCCTTGTATCTTTCCAACTTTCGATTTGCAGCTGAGAGCCGCACGCAAACCTGGAGCTGCCGCTGGGCCCAGCGTGGCCAAGTCCCTAACACCTCTGTAGAGCCATTGTCCTGGCCCCTCACAACTCAGCAGACCCCAGGCGGACCTGGGTCCCCCAGGAAAAGGTTAAATCAATTAAGAGACTTTCTACCCCCTCCTCAGTGTTCCCGGAAGCAGGCAAGTTATTTTGCATAACGGAGGTCTCACTAAAAGCATCTCTTTCTGCCCTTTAGCCCCAGGCGTGACCTGAGGGGCAGGGGCGTGAGGTCCGCAGCCCAGAGGACAGGTCCCACCCCTAAGCAGGAGGACACCTCCCTGAGGCTGGGTGGCTCCTCACAGCAATGCTCTGGAGCCAAACCCTTTCCTGAGTGCCAGCCACCACGGCCGCCCTCAGGAGTGCAGGTGGCCCCAGACTAGGCAGCTCTTGGACACACTAACGATGGCACCAACCCAGAGCAGGACCACCCCGCAGGGACTGGGCGCCCAGCCACACTGGACCCCAACACCTGAAAAGTGAGCTTCCCAAACCAAATCCGGTCTGAAGGCCGGCGGTGGCAGCACACGGGCCACTTCCCCGGAAATCCCCTAAGCAACGAACGGCTCACAACGCGCCCAGGCCTCCGCTGCTACTTACTTGCTGGTTTATCTGAAATCACTGGCAATACATCATTTACTCTTCTGCTCATTTCTTTTACCAACACTCCCCCCACCTCCAAAACCAAGGCAGGGGAGAAAGGAGACAAGGAGGACAGTTCCTGTCTGGATTCCATGCCGGTTCTTAGCATGCGGATCCGTGGGCTCATCTGACAGCCAGCGTGGGAAGAGGACTTGGCTTTTACAAAACCGAATTCACTTTTCATTTCCACTGAACCTTCAGCGGCAAGGAAGGATCCCTGCCTCTCCAGCCAAGGGCTTACCTTCAGGCGGACAAACAGCAACCGCAGCGGACGCAACTCTCCTGGCAGGGGAAGGGCGGAGGCGGCTATGCCGATCCAATTAGGAACCCCGGGGAAACAAGAAACCACCCGGCTGATCTCAAAAATTCCAGACGCCCGCGCCCCAGAGGAGAACACCCTGTGTTTGTGTAGCCTGGCCGGCCGGGAACGGCCAGGAAGCTCCAGCAAGGCCCAACCACCACTCCACTGCAGAGGGTGACAAGCATGCCCCAGACCGGACACCACAAATAACAGGCCGGGCGGGGGGCAAAAGGAGCCCACCGACTTCAGGCCTGCTGCCTGGCTGGGGACTGTATTTAATGGAAGTGTTCTGTGGCCCAGAGACACCTGTTACCCGCACTTTGCCACTCTCCAGCACCTTGCAGCTCAAGTTGCCTCTCCATAAAGCCTTCTCAGCTCCAGGGCCTGGAGGTTCTGGGGTGCCCATGAAGCCCCCGAACAACAGGCTTCCCAGCAGTGCGTCCATATCTCAGAGACACCAGAGCTGCAGCTTGGAGGCCCCTGGCCTGGTGGCTACAGCCACCCAGCATGCCACCATTCCCTGCAACCCTTGCCCACCAGTGGCACCTTTTCAGTCCTAAAAAGAATTGCTATGCTTGAGTCTGCTATATTCAAAATAATCATTTGCTGTCTGGCCAGCAGTACTCTAACTCACAAATCCAGGATTCACCCATCCCAGCCCCCACCCCAGCCTGAAGGAAAAAGAGTCGAAAAAGAGGTGACTGAGAGGCCCGAGGGTGGTGCCCCGGCTCCCCGAAAGTGCTCAACCAGATGGCTTCTGCCTGCATCGCCCAAGCCTTGCAGGGGGTGCGCTCCAGGAAAACAAAACCAGCTAAAGGTAGAAGAGAAGGAAGAGAGGACAGGAAGAAAGAAAAAATTGAAAGAAAGAAAGAAAGAGAGAAAGAGAGAAAGAATTGAAAGAAAGAAAGAAAGAAAGAAAGAAAGAAAGAAAGAAAGAGAAAGAAATCAAGAAAAGAAAAGAAAAAAGGCAAATTCAGACCAGGAAGGACTGACAAAGAATAAAAGAAAGATAAAGCGAACTAGAAAGGAAGGAAGGAAGGTGGAGTAAAAAAGAAAGAAGGAAGGAATGAAAAATAAAACTACACCAGAATGGACTGGCATTAAAAGGAAGAAAAGAATGGAAAGGAGGAACGAAAGGAATGAGAGGGAAGAAGGGAAGGAGAAATAAAACCTACGTGGACCGGCGTGCTATTGCCAGCTTTGGGGACACCTGCGCTTGGAACAATTCGTGGTTCGCATCTCCGGCTCTGGGCCAAGAGGTGGCTTGGTCTCGGGCCGCCAGGGCTCTAACGCCCCCCTGCGCGGCCTCCCCAAGACGCGCTGGCCTTGGCTCGGAGGCCGCGGGGCCCCGCAGCGCCTCCAGCTTCCCGCGTGGGCCGAGGCCCCGGAACCCCCAGCGTTCCGGGCCGGCCGCCTTCGGCCTCACCTTCGGGGAAGACGGCGCGCATCTTCAGGTAGCTCGTGGTGAGTCGGATGATGGACGCTTTGTCCAGCTGCGAAGTGATGGCCGATGGCAGCGGGAGCAGCTTGGCCAGCTCGTAAAACTCGCCATTTTCTTTCTCCCTCCTGGTTTTGGCCGCATTCTTGGACTTCTCCTTCATCGCGCCTCGGCTCTGGGCATATTAGATCGGGCCGCGCTCCAGGCCCGCGCAGTCTCGGTGGGGAAGGGGGCGCCGCGGACAGGTGAGTCCGGAGGCCGGGCGCCGGCCGCGGGCAGCTGCACGGATCCGGCCTGGGCGCCGAGACGCCTCCCCGCCGCCAGCCCCGAGCTCCGCTCCAACGGCCGCGCGCCCCGCCTGCACCGTCCCGCGGCGGTCGGAGCCCAGTCTGCCGCTGTCTCCTGCGTGCCGCCTCCGTCTCCCCTGCCTGGGCTTGCCTCGTAGTGCAGGAGCCGGCGAGGAGGAGCGGAGCTGTTCAGTCCTTTACCGGGTGTGTGCACCCGCTGCCGCGAGGCCCCTCCGGACTGGAGGGCGGCGAGGGCGGCGGGCGCCGCGGAGCCATGGAGAGGGGTCGAAGCGAGCGCGGCGCGGCGCAGGCGGCAGGGGTCCGGGCCA